CATTTTAAATTCTAGAAACTAATTATCCTCATTTTTATTTGATTGACTAATTTCAAAGGAGGAGGGGCTCGCTTTTTAAAGCTCGATCAACACCATGTTGATTCCGCATACGGCCATATATACTTCTGTCTCTTTTTTATGTGTCTCATTTGAGTTTGACACAATTATTAATAAAGTGGTTGAGAAAGTAAAAGGTGTTGTTGATATTTGAGTATAATGAAATGAAATGTTGTGGACCACATATTTGTTTCCAAAAAGGGAATGCGACACTTATTTTGGGACAACCCAAAAAGAAAAGTAAGACAGGTAAAATTGGACGGATGAAGTACATGAAAAAATTTAGAATGTGAACAAATTAGATCAGATTAGACTAGATTTAAATTATACTCCGTAATAAATACACATTTATGGACAATTCACGAGTAATTTCTAGATATTTTTTAAAATATTACATATATAATATTGGTGTCATATGAATGATCATAAAAAGTTATTTAATTTGATATAATTTTTATAAAAATTGAAACAAAAATGAAAAAGTTATAACATTTTATTAAAAAGGAATTATTTACCACATGGCAGCAAGTTATTGGAGAAGAATGAATGTAAATTGATATGCACAGGCCGTATGATCTAGGAGAACAAAACATCAATTTTAATTTATTTTATTTTAACAACAATAAAAAGGTTAGAATTGTCAAAGCAAGGTTAGGTAAAGTAAGGTGGAGTGCGCATAGCAGCTAAGCAGCCCCTTTTACTTTTTTTTGTGGAAAGCTTTTTTTCTTTTTAAACGCCTTTTAACAAGTACCGTTTTTTGAATAAAAAACACTTTTAAAATGAAAATTAATGTTGGTCCATTTAAAAAGGAAACAAAAAACTCTTACTTCCCATATAAAATGTATTTTTCCCGTATTTTACAAAAAATAGAAATATGAATTCATCAATTGAATGAACACATTAAATGCATAGGAGATCAACAATAGTTTAAAAGAAAAAAAAGTTCTTCTCTGTGACCCGTGTTTTTGTTTTGTTACAATACAAAATGACTAAATACTAAAATAAATCCCGATTCCCGATCCCGACTAAATCGGGATTGGGAAAATCCCGACAGGACCCGAATTTTTTTGAAAAAAGTCGAGGTCGGGAAAATCCCGACATCCCAACACTATATATATATACACATATATATAATTATGTATGAATACATATAAAAAATGAATATATATTTACAAAAATGAATATGTATATAAATATTTGCGTATCGTTTTTACTTGCTTATTCCTTACATAGATTTATCTTTTATGTTATAATATCGAACTTCTAAAACTATTCAAAATTTGTCCCAAATTGAATATTCTGGATCCTAACTAAATAGAGATTACTCTTGATCCCAACAATCTAAATCACAACAATATTAGAATTTTTACGGTTTTGACAAACTCTTTAAAAAATCATGATCGAGACTAAGATTTCTTTCTTTAGTAAAGAATCATAATATGTATTTATACATTATATCATTGTTCACAAAGTTTCTCAACGAGTTTACTTAGTTTTGAATTTTAAATAATATATGTTACACAACTTTCTTTTAGTGAATTTTTATAATACGTATAATTTCTGAAGTAAGTTTCACTGAGTCTTGATAGCTTATTCAAAAATTATATAATTGAAGTTATAAATAAAAATTATTCTAAAAGTGCGTACTACTATGAATTTGAGATGATAATTATGACTATAAATTTTATAACTAGATGATGATAAATATGGTATATTGATGACCAAAGAATAATGTTGAAACCACTAAATAACAAAGTTAGTGTTTAACTAAAGAAATTACATAATTTCATGTTTAATACTTCATTGTCGGGATTAAGCAGGATTCCCGATCGGGAACCCGGCTTAATCAGGATTTTAATGTCAGGATCCCAACTTAATCGGGACGGGATACGGGAACCTCTTGTATTTTGAATCGGGATCGATATTTGGCAATCGGGATCGGGATCATCCCGGTCTCACCCCTATCATATCAAAATTTACTAGACACAAAAGAATGTCTTTAAAATGTCCTACGGAATGCCATGAATATGCACTTCTTTTGTTTAATATGTGAACAAATTTATATATATGATTCACCATCATCTCAGTCATATGATAATAAAACAAATAATGGCTTTTAATTCTCGTAACATCCACTAATATGGCACTATAATAAAATTCAAACCAAACATTACCAACAAAACCTAAAACACAAAACACAATCATATGACATTTAATTATAGTAAGTTCCACAAATATAGCATCATCACAGTTCCATTAAATGCAAACCAAACATTACCAAAAAAACTTTTCATTTAAACAATACTCTGTAACACATATATGGCATTCCTATGCGTCATTAAGCACAAATAATCTAAGAAATTGACATGTTATAACAACATCACATGAAATTCTTCTTCTCCCATTGACAATATACTTTTATGAAATACTTTTCTTTTACAAAACCTATAATGTCATTCCATAATAAGATAGACTTGATTGAGCAATGTTTAAATTCCATTAAAAGGTTGTTTTATTCGACATTTGCTTGTTATTATGTTATTACTCATCTAAATGCCATTTTAATATGCTATTACTCATCTAAATGCCATTACAGACTACTTATGTTAATACAATACCAACATCATTCAAATTTAACCAATAAATTCCATTTCAATGAACATATACTCATTTAGAAGCAACACAATATACGAAAGGTGTGCGAAAATGCCATTGAAGGTAATCGGAAGCAATACATACCATTGTGGAGTTCCTGGATCACTACTTGTGTAACTACAGCTTGGATTGGCAATAGTGACTGATTTAAAACTAAGTGGGGTGAAGTCGGTACTCTCAGAAGAGCCCAAGGGAGATATCTGGAATCGGTATTTGGGAGGCAAGACCACAGTTACGAGTGACATTATAAAGGCAATAAGTAGTTACACAAGTAGTGATCCAGGAACTATGAAGGTATGATGGGGTCAAGCTTGCACTTCTGTATGTAAGTTCACATGGGTTTTTTAAAAATCAAACAGCAAAACCAATGGATTCATACTACTTGAATCTCGTTGATGATTTAGAAACTTCTAAAGCCTACCCATGGGGTGAAGTTGTTTGGAATCAGCTGTATGAAACAAAGTTGTGAAGCACTGGAAAGCTGTAGATGTGAAAGAGTGACATTCCCAGATTGCATGATTGCACAAGTCTGGGCATTTGAAACATTCCCAATTCTATCAAACGAAGGTTTGTGTAAAGTAATAGATGAGAGAGAACATATAATGCCAAGGACACTAAAGTAGGCATTTCATATGAAGCATCGACTAGAAGTTTTGTGTGACCTAATTTTCTATAATGATAAGGTATATGAAATACTAATAATATAGTATACTATTTATTATATGATTAAATATATAGACACTAATATTATTACTAATATGGTGGGTTATGTCAGCTTGAATGGACATGTATTGTTCCAATGGAGCAGGAGCTTGAATTAATTCAAGGAGTCAATATTGATGGTGCTAGAGTGAAGACTGAGGAAGATGTGCAAAGAAAAGATGCAAATAGAGCTTCGAGTGTAGAAACCAACGGTGTGCAGCCTAAAACACATAAAAGAGCAGTGAAGAGGTGCAGAACAGTTAAGGAAAATGTTGGAGAAGGCACTTTGAAAACAAAAAAGAAGAGTAAAAGAAAAACATAACAAAGATAGTTATTATGAAGCAGAAGAAAGTGACAAAAACAAAGATGACAATGAGGATGAAAGTGGAGATAAGGCAAGTATTGATTCACGTATAAGAAAAAGAGGCGAAAAGATGAAAGGAAAGGGCAAACAAACAATACGATTTGCCAAAAAAAAAGGAAGTTGTGAAAGAAAACAATGTTGGAAAAATGTGTTAAAATTGCATTAAATGATCAATTTGGGGCAATAATTTGAGTGGGGTCCACTCACGGTTTGGGTCGGGTCAAAGTGGTTTTGAATTGTACTTGTTAAGGGCTACAATTTGATATAAAGGTTTCTATTTCTACTTTATGAAGCAATTATCACTTTTAAATGACAACTTAATCATCAAATATTAAAAACAATACATCTATAATATCCCAATTATCACCATTAACCGCATTATATTATATACATATCAAATTTATTTCTCAAAATATACTCAAGTTACATTATTTAATTATTATTGTCTAAATAATCGTGTCATTTGCAATGAGATCCCTTCAATGAGATGGAAGTAGTATTAATAGGAAAAATTGACAAAAATAATCTCACCTTTCACTTCTCTTCTCATAATAATCCCACCATTACGTTATCCCAGAATAATCCCACATTTTCACCCCATCATCTTTCATTGAACCCTAACTTGTTGATGACCTACTATACCAGGTTTTTACCCTTTCTTTGAAAATCTTATATAAATAATCTGACCTTTCACAAATCTGCTCAAAACGGCCTCATGTTTCATTTTTTCTTATTTCTCCCTAAAAATTTTTCTTCTATATTTTCATCCCTAGACACTTTTTATTCCTTTTTCTACCCTTTTTTTCTTATTTCTTTTCCATTTTTATTATTCTATTTCTTATTCTATTAGGATTTTTTTTTGTGAAATTTCCTTCCCAAATAGATCTTTTTGTCATTTTTTTTATTCCCGAATTTTTATTTCATTTTCTTTTTTATGTTTTTCTGCTTGATCATTCTCTTCTTAATCACTCTCTTCTTATTTCATTTCCACTCTACTTTTCTTTAAAAGAAAACATAACAGAAAGTAGAGTGGAAAAAAGATATAATAAGAAGAGAGTGATTATGAAGAAAAACATAAAAAGGGGAATGAAATAAAAATACGAAAAGAAAAAAAGGAAAAAAAAAAACTATTGTGAAGGGAAATTTTACAAAAAAAACACCTTCCCTACTAGAGTGAGAAATAGAATAATAAAAATGAAAAAGAAGTAAGAACAAAGGGGTAGAAAAAGCAATAAAAATATTCTAGGGATGAAAATAAAGAAAGAAAAATTTTAGGGAGAAAAGGGGGACAATGAAACATGGGTCCGTTTTGAACAAATTTGTGAAATAGGAGTATTTATCGAGAAATTGTCTCATGTAGGAGTAAAACTTAGGAGAAATTCTTAAATAGGAGTATGTATGTTTTCTTCCCCAAATAGGACCATATTACTCCTATTCAAAACATACGGACTTTTCAATTTCATTCTTACCCATATTACATTTAATTCATGGTCGATCCACTATTCCGCTCACTGCCTTCTCTCTGCTTCCTACGAACCATCCTCACCCCTTCTCCATGGATTAGTTTCTTCTTCCCTGCAAAGATCCGCCTTCTTCTTCTTCTCTGCAAATCAGACTGGTCCACTGCACGCTGCCTACAAATCAGGTTTCTTCTCCTTCCTCATCTTCCTTCTACTCCTTCTTCCTCCTCCTCCTCCTATTATTCTATTTTTCAGATTTTTCTTCTATTTCTTTGTTTTTTGAGTTTTGGCATTCGATTTGTTGATTTTAAGACTTTTATTTCGTATTTCCATTTTTTAATTTCTCAATTTTTCCTGATTCACTCAATTTTTGGAGGATGACATAAATTTTTGCCAAGTTTATAGCAGAAATGTACATAGATTTTTCCTAATTATCCTCCTCTTCCTTTGTTTTCCTGGATTTTGAATTGATTTTTCAGTTTTCGTATTTCTATTTAGGATTTTGAGTTCTTAGTTTAAAAAAAATCGATTTTCCACAATTTTGGATAATAACTTCATTCTGCCAAGTTTATGGAAGAAATGTGTAGATTGATAATAGTAATATGGCAAAAACTTTACTTTTTTGTGTAAACATTTTCTTCTGATTTTTTGTCAATAAATTCGTGTTTCGCATTTCTGATTGTTTGAAGTGGTTATTCCATAAAAAAATCCGGTTGATTTCATATTTTTGCCAAATTTATAGCTATTTTGAGTTAATATTCCAAAATAAATCTGCCAAATTTATGCCAGATTTGAAATCCTTGTTTATGACAGATTTTGACAGATTTGTGACGGATGTGGCGGCACTCGCAGGCGAAGTGGTGGTCTAGGAATTTACAGTGGCGGCAGTTTCGATGCAAGGTAGTTACGATAACCAGAGTTACGGCGATCGATGGTGAATCCGGTGTGCGCGGTGATGGTTGATAACACCTGCGGCCTGAGGGGGAGGGGCGGCGCTGGAGGGGATGTGCCAGCAGTCTGCAGGAGATGGCTGAGAGAAGCTCTTCAGTGCAAATTGCCTTTCCATTTACGATTTGGTGCAAACCGCCTTTCGCCCCACTATATTAGTTTCTTTCCATAATTAGTTTAGGGTTATTTTGGTCCATCCGCATCTATTTTACTCCTACTAAATGTGCTAACATTATTTCCTTGTCCACTCCTAAATGTGCAATTTCTATTATTTTTACTCCTATATTGGTAATTAACTCTTTATTTATATAAGATTTTCAAAGCAAGGGTAAAAAACCTGATATATTAGGTCATCAACATGTCAGGGTTCAATGAAAGAAGGTGATGTACAAAGGTGGGATTATTCTGAGATTACGTAAAAATGGGATTATTATGGAAAAACCAGTGACAAGTGAGATTATTTTTTTCAATTTTTCCTAATTAATATGGAGTAACATACTAACATTTAGCCTAGTTGAATCAACCGAAACCAGCCCCACTCAATTACAATAGCAGTTCTACTATATCAGTATCATAGAACGGCCAGTCCACAACCGGTCAACCCCTACATGAGTAGTCATGGACTTGATTCGGGCAACCCGGCCCGGGAATCGGCCCGGCCCGCTACTGTGCAGGTCCAGCCTGGCCCGGTGCTTCGGGTCTGAAACCGGTCCTTGACCTAGTTTGAAGGCCTAAGCGGGGGCGGGCTCGGGCTGCTTAAATGGGGACCCGGCCGGGCCTGGTTCGGGCCTCAAACTGTTTTTTTTTTGTTTTTTCAGTTTTTTTGGGCTTCCCTAGGTTGGGCTTGATGCTTGGGGGGGGGGGATGGGGGGTTTGGGGGGATGGGGGGTTTGGGTGGGGTGGGGGGTCAAGGTGTAGTTAGGAAAGAAAAAGAAAAAATTAGAACCCAACCCGACCCGAACCGGACCCGGTGGCAAACCGGGTCAGTCCCGGGCCTTCCCCTAACCACAAAAGGCTTGACCAGGCCAAGGCCCAGGCCGGGCCGGACCCAACCCGGCCCGGCTCCATGCCTATACATGAGACTTAGGAGAAGCTCAGTAAGTGTCGTTGCTCAAGGATGATGCCAATTCTGTAAAGAATGCTTCGACAGAATACACGATGATAGACTCTTAAAGTAATTAGTACAATCAAACATAACCAAAATTTAAAGATGAAATTGGAGCTCGTAATAATACTTGATGCAAATTAGGGTACGAATTTACGAAATATAGACTGCATAGAAAAAACTCCTAAAAGTTGTGGTAAATTCAAACTAAGGATGTTTTTGCTTGGACTGTAATTTGCTGGTCTGGTCTGGTCTGATCTGGTCTGAACTGGTCTGGTAAGGTCTGGTTTCTTTGTATTTTTATAACTATCCAAGTCTGGTCTGGTCTGGTCTGGTCTAAACTGGTCTGGTCTGGGGCAAATTACAATCCAAGTAAAAACATCCTAAGGCAACGATTTCCACCACATACCAAGTTCGGAATGGGAAATTGGAAATGAGGGGTGGATTCGGGTCAGGCCACCCGGCCCGCTACTGTGCGGGACCGAGACCAGCCCAGTTCTCGGGTCCTGGTCCAGGTCGGGCCTAGGCCAGTGGGGGAGGGTGGGTCCGGGCTCGGGTCGTGATTTCGGCAAACCGGCCCGGCCGGTTCGGGCCAGGTTCCGGGCCTATTTTAATTTTTTTTTTTCAATTTTTTACTTTTCGGGTTGGGCTGGGTATTTTGGGCCATTTGGGGTAGTTTGGGGGTGTGGGTGGAGGTTGGGGGTTAACTAGGAAAAGGAAAAAAAATAGCAATTACCCGAGGCCCGGCCCGACCTGGGATTACCTGGGCCGGTCCCGGGGGCCCCATTCCTGAACCGCCGGCCCGGCTCCACCCCTGTTGGAAATGCACAATCAAGGCAATGTGAAATTATATTACTAGTATTAATTTATAGGTATGGATGATTTTGAACAACGTCAATGTGGTAGGCATGTATTGAGCATCAATCCATTCTTTACGGCGAAACAGCCATACCTACACCCCACCCAATCCAAAAAAAAGGATTCAAGCACCCGGGAAAGGCAGATGTTCCTATTAAAAAATCTCTTTTTGCATTAAGAGATGTGGATGTCCATCTACCACACCATGTGATCAGATATGAGAGATACAAGACAAATATTAAACGAGTACAAAATACCAAAATTTAAGAATACTAGAAACATAATCGCTCAGAGGATGTATTAAAAAATCACATTAAACATGCACCAATATGCTAGGGATTGGCAAAAAACCTTTTGACAAGCGTGCACAAGTCCATCAAACACTCGTCAGGCTTTTTAAAAATCTCATCTTAAAAACATTCATAGCTCCATGATTAAGTTTTGTTGCAAGAGGGCTTCTGAATTCGTAACAGCACAAAATTTTGGGAAGCATACCCGCATGATGATGATGATGATGTCATAATAATAATAATAATACTATAATTATATCATGTGTCCAGTTCTGCTGAGAGAAGCAAATACACTCATATGTATCAGGCTCTAACCTTCTGAGCTTTGTTTGGCCGGCCTGAATTACTATCCCGGTGCCGCGGGGGGTGCTTCCCACCTCTGAATTTGCCTCCTCTGCAAAATGTTGAATAGCTTGTAACTAGTAAGAATAGTTTGCAACACCATTTAAATATTTATAACTGTGGTTGTGCAGTATTTGTTTGCGAGTACACAGTTCGCAATAAGCAGTATTAAAAAGTGGTTGGTAGAGTTGTATGCTTTTAATAATATAGCCTTTTTAATCTCTCAAATGTCTGACATATCTATCTGTTCAGTACAGGCAATACAAATACATATTTTGTAAGTATGTGTATAATATCGCCTTTTTAATCTCTCAAATACCTTTACAAATACATACATGCAAGTATGTGTATTCATCTCTCATAAAGGTCAACCTCAAAGAATACCGTCAGCTCAAAAATATTTTGTTTCCTACCCTAGTCTTATGGCTAACACAATACAATCATGTGAATTCAAACGGCGGTTAACCCCCATGCACAAAAAACACAGAATGTCTGCAAGCTCATTTTTGCCAAAAAAAAAACTCATTCAACGGCTCTGATTTTTTTGTTCATTAGCAATTTAAGCGTTAATCATGAGTTAATTTTAACCCTTCAATAGTTCATAGTTATAGTAATGACCCAAAACTTTGAACCACTGAAAAGACATAATGGCCAAAATAGATGTCATCCTCATCGGAATTCTATCAGGCATGCTAGACCAGATAGATACATTCACACAGAGATAGCCTAGTTTAGGTAAAAAGTAATCTTCCCAGTTAAAGGTAAATGCAAATATTAAAGTATGATGCATCTTGGTTAACAAGGTGGAAGTTGCAGTTGATCACAATTATACATCACATTCTTTCATATGCTTTTTTTCCCATCATTTGCAATGGAGTCAGAGACTCACTATTTTGGGCTTGGGAATATGATGGAATAAAGCAAAATGACTCACTGAACTGTCTGTGCTTCTTTGTTATGAAGCAGCCGTCAGTCCATGCAATTTTCGACACGATTTTCACTATGGGTCATCCGGAAACAGTCTCCTTGTTCTTTAGTACAGGGGTAAGACTGCGTACATCCGACCCCCTTACCCCCACCATAGGTGGGGAGCCTTTGTGGCACTAAGGGTAATGATGATGATGTTCTTTCGTATGCTTTTTCCTAAATATTCATAATCTTTAAATCGTCCTTTTCTCACATAAGAAAGACGTCTTATTTCGTGTGTGTTTGCATGTATACACACACATAAATACATTAATATATGTATATACACACGCATACACATCATGCCGACGGGAGTCCTATCAGGCCAACTTCGTTTTTTATCAAAAATGAAGTTAATGATCAAATTGTTGCTCATTTTTATCAACCACTAGTTTCAACTGTTAGATAATAGAAAGATGAACTTTATCGAGCTAACTCCATTTCTTGATGAATTAATCTTAACAATTGAATGTGAGTTCTAACCGTTGAATCTAATAGATAACACTAATGAGCAAAAACAGATCGTTGAATTCCTTTTTGGCAAATCAAAATAGATTAAAACCAGTATACTACATTCACAACTAATTGTATATCCTTACCTTCCTTTATAGCCCTTATAATTGCCTCGTCTCTCCTGGCCACCACAAATCTGGCTCCAGTACTCCTTTTCAGCATCACCTGTTTTTTCAACAACAAATTCAAGCTTTCTATCATAAAAGAAGCAACTACAAACCAAATGCAAGCGGAATCCCAAATCGAAAATCATTAACTACAAAAAGATAAAAACATATATAAAGCATACCAGTCACAGGATCTAAGGTAAGAACACAATTTTTCACTGCCAGGCCACCTTCCACAGCAAGCACAGCAGCAGCTCTTGCCTTTTGAGCTGCCTCAGCCTTCTCAAACCTTATATATCCTGAATCTGATCCCGTCTCAAAATCTACAAACTACAGAAATAAATAAACAATAAGAAACCTTGCTTCTTGTTAATAAAACATTTATACTAAACTACCAAAATAAATTATGGAGACAAAATTAAAGAAAATCCAGAGCAAGACTGAATGATACAAGAAATGAAAGGAATAATTATGCCTAGCAAAAGAATAATAAATAAATTCCAATGAAATTGGATCATCATCAGCCAGGAAAATAAAATATGCCGACCGGCCGACCCTAAATATATTTCCCAAAAAGTAAAGCAAATTACCTTCACAACACCAAACTTCCCAAACAAGCTTTTTAGATCGTCACGTAAAACAACATCCTTATTGTCCTTGCAAGGTAAAGATAGTTGTTTTTTTGTTTTTTCGCCGTCCATTTCCATTGGATTCTGTCCATCATTTCCTACTCCGTCATCACTGTCCTTAGCTCTCGCATGCTTTTCTTCTTCATCTTTCACCTCTTTATCTTCAGTGATGTCATTGTTTTGTTTTGTTGTAGTTTGTACATCTAGAGCTGCTTGTATATCAACATTGTCCTTGTTATTATCACACTTTTCTTCATCTTTTGACTCTTTTTCTTCATTCACTTCCTTGTCATCTCCTTTTGTAATCTGTGTCTCTGCAGCAGCAGGCACATTAACATTGCCATTGGATGGTGTGGTGTCAAGTTCTTCAAGAGTATTCTCATTATTTCCTTCATCATTTGTATAATCTTCAGCAATTAATTTTTTTCCATCTTTAGTGGTGGTCTAAGTTGCACGGAAACGTGAAACGGGAAACGAGAAACAGGAAACGCGAGAAACGTAATTTCTAAAAAAATATAGGATACGAAACGTGAGGGAAACGCGTAAATATTATAAAATATAAGGATATGTTTATAAATATTTTTTAATATATGTACACAAGTTTTTCCATATGCACATGTTTTTTTCCATATAATTTGTTTAGTAACCAAATAATAAAATCACTCTACATGTTCGAATTTAGATATTATTTCATATTAGTACATAATTAAACATAAAATGTACAAAGTAATACATTTCTAGCAATACACTGCGTTACGAAATGTAACAAGTGTTGGAGCTGAGAAATACCACATAATTCACTATTAAAAAAAAACTATTTTCCACCACAGAATCTTTAAAAAAAAGGGGAAAAAAATTGGAATCTGAGGTTTCTGAAACGTACTGAAACGAGTTTCCAAATTTTTCTTAATTACGGAAATGGCCTCGAAACGGGAATTTGAAGTTTCCGAGTTTCCGAAAAGCTTCTGAGTTTCCGAAACGTGGAAACGTGAACTGTGGAGAGTTTCCGTGCTTAATAGGTGGTGGTTTGTACCACAACATTGTCAGTACCTGGCTTATGGTAACCATTTACTCTTGTAGTACCTTTTTCGTTGTTGTTCTTCAGTTTAAAAGCAACGATCAAGCCCTTAGGGTAGCTGCAATATTCAAGACGATGAAATTATTTGATCACCAATAAAAAACAGTCTGTTTTACTGTAACTCGACTTACTTGTCTTCAACATTGGGTTGACTTTTATGAGATGAACCTTTGTGAACAGTATTATTCTCTGCTACTTTTTCCTGCTCCGCTCTTTCTGCAATAAAGTCTTTCCTGTAATAAGAAATAGCAAATAAAACGCATTCACCACAAATGATTACCAAAAAGAAAAGATTGCATATGTTCGTGATATAGAAAGCATCCCAAAAAAGGGGACATAAGGAGCAAACCATCCCTTGTCATTTTGACAAGAGGTCGCTCCCAAAGCTTGAACTCATGACCTCACGGTCACACAACATATGTTCATGATATGAAACATAAAAAACCTTTACTCTTACTGAAACACCCTAAACTAATCTGTCATAATATTAAAAGAAATATTGAGGTGGGAATTGATAGAAACAATGGCTGACACAGGAATTCCCGGCTGGAGGGGCGGTAGTACAGTTGTATACGAATCAAATGATTTATGCTCGGTTCAGGATAGTCCATAGTAGTCAATGGCGCAAATGGCGATCGCCATTTCTCGCCTTTGGCGATTCAGGGGGTCCTCGCCACTATTTTTGGCTATGGCGCACAGGTTACAGGTTGTGTTGCCAAATGTGCGCTATCGCCATTTTGCGCCAAATAATGGCGCTATCACACGCGTCTGGGTCGCGACTTTGGTTCGATAGTCGCTGTAGCTGGTCGCCGTCGCAGTCGCTGTAGCTGGTTGCCGTCGAAGTCGCTGTAGCTGGTCGAAGTCGCTGTAGCTGGTCGAAGTCGCTGTAGCTGGTCGCCGTCACTGTAGCTGGTCGCGTCGCCGTCGATTGTTGCTGAAACTGGTCGCCGACTCTAATCGCACACAGACTGCTTGCTTCGTGGTTTTAGTTCTTCGCTAGCTTAGATTGAAGTCTGGCAGAATAACTTAAAAGTTAAAAGCCTTTCTCTAGAACCCGTTCTTTTTTTTTGGGTAAAGTTAGAACTTAGAAGCCTTCTGTGTTTCTCTTTGATTTTCACTTCCTCTCATTTTTTGTGGGCCAGTTGACTGGACGGTTGAACCATATAAGTTATTTAATTTGATTTGGATTATTTTTGGTGCTATTTTTGGTTATTTAAAATTTAACTCTTTAATTGGTGGTTAAGTCATACACATATATTGTGTATTATGTTATGTTTAAATTTTTTTGATGTGTTTTACTGGTGCGCCATTTTTGCGCCATTTTTGCGCCATCGCCATCGCCACGTGAAATCACCCCCGCGCCATGCCGGTCGCATTGCGCCGTGACTACTATGCAGGATACGAATCAATATATTTTAAAAATATATATTAAGTCATAGCATGCATTAATAACATAAGAAATATTTGACTACTATTTAACTTATAATCAAATCGATTCGATATTGGCATATGATTCATTAACTATTCGTATTGTTAAACAAATACGAATACCAATCGAAATTAATATTCATTTCATATTCGAATTCGAATTCGGAAAAATTAAACAAATACAAAATCACACTATAGACTCGATTCAGTGCGTTTACAATCCTAGGCGGTAGTATAAAAGAATACATACTACTACTTGTGTGTGTGTGTGTGTTAAAACTTTGGAATAATTATACCTGCTTAAAACATTTTGAGGGGGAACGTGCCCCCTTTGTGTCCACCGTTGGATAGAAAATCATACAACTGGAACCAACATATATATCTTAAGAACACCTCCACTTACAGGAGGTCGTCTCTACTCAAAGATATTAGGTAATTCTAGTTTTAAAAGCATATTGTTGAGTAGATGATGAACTAGAGTACAGCATAAACATTAAATATGGATGATTCTTGCAGGTATAAATTAAAAAATTTAAAACTTTAGACAACATTAATACTTGTGAACACCAAATATTGTACTAGAAGTAAACTCCGCTTCTGAAACAGCAGTGACGACCAAAACTTACTTTGGTTTTAGATCTAACACCAATCCCGCATAAAGCAAGCTTTGCTTTAGAATGCTTTGAGCATCTTCCTCACTTGAAAATTCAACCAGGGCAGTGCCACAAAATAGTCTTTTGTCGGCAACGTGACGAGGTAGCCGTACACTGTTAACCTAACAATAAAAAATATGTTTCACGTTTGCCTCTCATGATCATACAATATGAGGGTAGTAGCATATTATAGTAAGTGCATGCATATCTAGCACTATCACATAGTCCAAGTCTATAAATATGAGATTGTTTAGTATAATGCAATCATGTGATGATACCTTTGCATATTGTCCAAAGAATGACTCTACATCTTCAAGCTTAATAACATACTCCAGTGGAGATGCAGCAATAGTCCTCCCATCTATTTGTTCAATAACCTCCTCGGGCTTTGGCAATTCTGTAGCTCTACCAATTTTCTTGCCTAAAAACACTTAAATATCAGCCACTGATCAAACTAATTCCACCAGAAAAAAGCAGAAAACAAACTGATTCATGAAAATGTTTACCATCATCCGAAATCTTAAGAAAAGTAGAGCTTTTTAATGCATCGGCCACAGCTTGGACAGTATCATCTGTTATATCATCTGGTTTTGCTTCTTGTAAACCCAGATGGGATCTCATCCTCGAAAATGAACATATCAGAGACAAACTGACCACTAAATTTACAGTTAAGCTCGACAAGCATTAAGCATACATTAGCCATGGGATTAAACTCCAAGAGCTAATTGCGTTCATACTGAAAAACATGTCAGACAATTAATACTATCAGCAATACAAGCATAAGCACACACAACTTAAACTGGAAAATTTATCGGCGTTGGAAATTGCTTTTAGGAAAGGATACACCTATCTTCACTTTCATCAACTGTTTTCTTGAGAAAAGAATCCCTAGGAAGGTTGCTGTCACTGAAATAAAACTCGACCTAGAAATAACATATCTCCGTTGAGAAATTAAAAAAATTAAAATAAAAAGATATACACGTAGCAACAACTGCAGAAATATGTAAAATAGATAGATAGATCACCTGACGAATAACTTTCTTCGTCGTTTCCTCGTCCAAAGACTTCACCATTCTCGACGGAAGCACGGGAGAGCAGGCAGAGGTTCTAGGGTTCCAAGGCAAGAATATACTTCCTCACACCCAAATATTATTGTTAATAACAAATTGCTAACAATGTTTTTATTTATAAAAAAAATATTCTCTCCATGTGGATTCTCACTTTCTTTTTTAAGTCTCACTTAAATTTCTCATTTTCTATTTTAGGAAATAATTAAAATTCTTAAATAACAATTTAATCTCCAAATATTAAAAATAATGCATTTTTAACGTCATAGTTATCATCAACAACTCATAATATTGGATAAAAATTATTTTCTCAAAATATACTTGAGTTAGCATATTTAATATTCCGTATGTCCCTTAAAATTCTTCCAACTTTCCTTTTTGGACTGTCCCAAAAAATTCTTCCAACTTCCCTTTTTTGAATAATTTGTGTGGCTCACATCCATTTCACATTTTCCTTACACAACTACAATCAAACATTTCCACTTTATTTCACTTCTTAAATATGCAAGTCAACTCAAAATTGGAAGAATTTATTGGGATGGATGGAGTATTGTTTAAATAATCATCTCATTTTGTCATGGGAATCTTTGAACCAGACCGATGTAATGCGTAGTAAGAATTTCTTAGGATATTTTCTTTTTGATTGTTTTTCAGTTCCAAACCATATCGAATCAGATCAGACCATACCAGACTATACTAGATTTAAATAGACTAGACCAGACTTCCATAATTATAAGATACACATAGGTCAGACATTTATCAGATCAGACCAATTCAGACTAGATCAGACCAGATCAGCAAATTTTAGTCCAAAAGAAAACATCCTTGGTATGATTTTGATTTGAAATAATTCCTGAATAAAACATGGCAAATAGGCAAAAATAGGAGTGGTAATTTGAATATTCCCAAAATAGGAGTAAGTTCAGGGATTGGACAAAAATACCCCTGCAAGTGACCACCCCACTGCTGCCCACTGTCATCTGCCTCCACCGGCCTCCGAATGCCGCTTCCAGTCTTCTGAGCTCTGGCGGTGCCAAAAAAATTCTGAATTTATTTTCAGTCCACCTACCACCGCCAGAGGTCCACTATCGGTCGTCATCGCGCCTCCACCATAGCCGGGCTGCCCCACCAGCAATGGGCCGACCCGATTGCCCAAGGGAACTAAGGAGGGTAATTAATTCATTAGAATCGGGGTAGAAAATCAATGTTTACTTCTATCTATGAAAGATTATGGGTGTTACTCCTATTAGGGGAAAGCGTATGTTTTACTCCTATTTAGGTAAATTACTGATGGATACTAGGGGGTATCCAAACATATAATTATGAGGGGTTTAAGCTAAAGAAATATAGAAGAAGATGAATAGTATATTAAATGTGCAAAATATTGATTATGGATATGCTCCCAAGGGGAGTATATATAGTAAAATCCGGGTCTCGACCTCTAATATGGGCCTAACAGACCGGTTACATAAAAGGGTTGATAATATAAAAGGATAGTATAGAACATCCGAATAATATTAATAATAATGGAAATGTTATCTACTGAGCGTACTGACAAGCACTTTGTCGTGTGTGCACTCAAAATAAATTCAATACTAGCACTTATACGTAGTATAGCGTAGTAGAGTTCGTATCCACAGGGAAAGGAATAATTCTCTTTTTATAAAACTAGTAAATAAAGGGGGGGTTGGTTGAGTGATTTAATTAATTTAAACACGAAGATGAACGACTTATATGTGATTTAATTCAAGAATAGAAGGGACTTGGTCTTGCTACTTTCCACTTGTTGATATATTTTAGTCGATCATTGTTATATCTATAACTTATCCCCTCTCGAATACTCAATCGTGGAGTATCTCCAATTCATCGAGGGTAGTTATTAACAACGACCGTTCATTAATAACTCTTACTATTAATCAAATATAGAACAACGCCGTATATTGATATAATAGTAGCATTTAACCTCTTTAACTCCTTGATGAAATCAATTGAGATTGATAACCTCAACACAACGGTTTCGGTTTAACCAACAAAATTAATCTCTCTTAAGTTTATTAACCACGACCGTGCATTAATAAACCGAAGTTACTTACTTGTGAAACCATCAATGATTAACCATCGGTTCGTTGATCGTTTCTAGTAATAATTAATGTTGGAACATTAACTAATCGTCACTTAGCAACCCTCCAACATTAATATAGAATGAGATTAAGGGAAAAATTAATAATCAAGAGGAGAAAGTAAGAAAATAACTCACAACTTTAATAATCAACAAGCTTCAAGAGCAAAACCAGGAAATGGAAGTTTAGCTCCTCATTTGGAGACTAAACATGCTAAAAAAATATAAGAAATAACTATTCTAAACCGAGCTTAAGTATATGGAAGAAGGGATGCCTTAATGTGAAGGAAAAGGGGTGTATTTATAGGGAAATGAAGGTGGCAGGATCATGTACCCGACCGGGTGTTTAGGTTACCCGATCGGGTACTCAGCTGGTTCCGAGAAATGAGAAAACGTCATCTCATACCCGACCGGGTGTGTCGATCTACCCGATCGGGTATGAGACCGGATCTTCCAAATATATTGCTCCCACGATCCTTTGTTTCCAGGATTTGATTTGGACAACGAAAATCGGGTCAATACCCGATCGGGTAGTACATATACCCGACCGGGTACATGAACTTTTTCCCAAATCAATTTTTGATCTTGTTCCCTTGCACACCTTTTGGTCTTTGGGATCCATTTCTTGATCCTTTGAGTGCTTTCAACCTGTCCTATGCTCAAGATAATCCTAGTCTAAACAATTTACACTAATTTAAATAAAACAAAACATTACACCAAAAGTGTGTAATTTCCAAGCTAATGAATCACAAAACTAATTAAAAACGTACAAATACAAACGGAAATTACACACAAATCACGTATATGGGCTGCTGTCTCGGGGCAACAGTCATGAGATTGGGGTCCGAGTTCATATACTCTATCAGGAGTCGCACACTCCCTGAGGCGAGAGTACTTAAGGAGAAAGGGAGTAGAATTTGTGCTTCTTCAATTAATGGAGACACTAAGTCCTGCGCTCTTCCAGTCCCCCTACTCCTTGAGGCGAGCGTAGTGAGGTGAAAAGGAGTATAGTAGCCTGTCTCGTAATGACTCCTATAAGGACCAAGGGTTTACAGCTTTTGTCCATCTTGGGAAGATGCCTCATTAAAAATCTCACTAGGAAAAAATCACGTGGGAAATCCTAGTAATCAAGCATGATTTATAATCCTAGTAAATGAAACAAAAAGGGTGAGCCCTTCAACCGAAGCGTGGAGCCGCAACGATCATCATCTGCTGAAGGATGGTTGGTCTCCGTATGTAAGTAACTCGCCATGATTTATAATCCTAGTAATCAAATAAAGATGACTAAGAGATAGGTCGAGCGACCATCCATAATATGATGTCCATAATAAAGATGACCGAGATATGTGGCTGACAGGCCTATATGAAGTTCACGTCCTCAAATAAAGATGACCAAGAGGTATGGTTGAGACGCCGATATAAAATCCAAGTCATCAAATAAAGATGACTATGAAATATATAACCGAGAGGTCTGTATGATCTCCACGTCATCAAATAGATATGACTGGGAGGTATATGGCTGAGGGGCTTGTATGATATCGTCATTCGGTTGCACCTAAGAATTCAAATAAAGCTGCTATAATTTCTTGAGCTTATAATTCACTATTGGGTTTGGGCTTAAATTAAGTGGCCTCAAATTTTCAAGCTAAAGCTCAAGTTAGATTTCTATGCTTTGTTGTAATGTGGCACGCATCAAAGACTGAACCTACCACTTGAGGTTTGCCATTCGAATTCGATAGATAGAGGGCATACATAACTCATACAAAACATAGAAACTAGAGTATGCATTAGATAGCATTAAGATTCGGAGCATAATAATCGCCACACCCGTATGACGTGATCGTTGGTGTGAGAGTTAGGCACTTTCTGACGGTGTACGTGAATGATCGGATTATATAAGTCCATTTTTTCAATGTCAAAAAATACACACTACTTGAGAAATAATGATAATAAAATTAATAATCCAATTCAATTTGTCACTTAAGTTCGTAGTTCTAATCTACCATACGCGCGCTTTTAAGGGATCTTTTAATGGATGACTCGCCCCTCAAGATTGAAATTGGATGCTATATTATTAATTTTTCATTTTATGATTTTTTTGTAAATCTTTTTAACCAAATTTATTTTATAATTATCAATTATACAAAAAAAATTGGGATACTTAGCTTTTATTAAAGAGAGAAAGAACTTGCAATAAATGAAGGTCGAATCATTTACATCTACCCTCAATGGGGGTATTATAGTAATCATAAATGAGTCAGTGCATTAAATGCACTACACGTGTCGACTATTCTATGGGTGAGAGCCTTGGGGTGATGTAGAGCTTGACGTGTGTCATTCCCTGGTTCATTTCTGGTCGAATGCTCCTTGTTGACTGAGGTGCAGGGGTGCACCTCGGATCTGTTGATTGTAGTTCCTGACTGGAATTCAGATGAGACGTCACGTGACCGAGGTGTCAGTCTCCGAGGTGACTGTACGGACAAGGAGTCTGCTTCTTCATTCTGGGTTGGGCTTCTCCGCTAGACCCTTCAGTGATGTCATGGGTTGGGCTATTGTATACCCAAGAGTGTGTGAGTCGTGGATCCGAGCTCATATACTCGATTAATTACTTTTTTGTTTTTTGGACTATTCGAGTTGAACATAGAATTCCAATTATAATTTGGAATCAAAAGACAAAAATAAACCCACATTTTACCTGATTTTTAAAAATAATCTCATCTAACTCCTTTTTTTTAATCCAGGTTGATCAACCACCCATCGATGAGGAAAACCCTTGAGAAAGATTGCCAATTATTAAAAAAAAAATATAAAAGAGTGATATAAATAAAGAGAGGGACTAGACCAAACCTCTTTAAGAGGGTGCATACCCTTTCGAAATACATGAAGAATAACAACGAAAAAAAGTTCGCAGGAGGGGGGGTGGGGGGACCTGACCCAACTTAAAGAGTAATTGATCCAAATGATATAAAACAATATTCTGCAAGCAGCCCAAATC